TGTTTGTTGTTGCTTGTTTGCTGTTTGTTGTTTGTTGTTTTTATGTTGTTGGTTGTTGGTTGTGTTTGTTTGTTCTTTGTTGTGGTTGTGATATGGTTTTTCATTTTGGAAGTGCTTGGCACGCAGGGGGCTGGGCTTTAAACAGATTTTTGTGGCAGGCGCATTGGTACAATGTATGTATCTATGTATGTATCTATGTATGTGTGTATGTATGTGTGTTTGTATGTATGTTTGTATGTATGTGTTTATGTCTGTAAGTACGTCTGTAAGCATGTCTGCATGTATGTTTGTTTTGTTTGTACGTATCTATGTATGTGTGTATGTATGTATGTATGTATGAATGTATGTATGTATGACTGTATGTATTTTTTTCTTCTAAAGGTGCTTATCTGGCCGTTTGGCCGGGCGCTCTAGGCATGGTGCCTCACCTGGTGTCGCAGCTCAGTAGTGCAGCTAGCAGAAGTCGACGTGCATTTCCACATCGTCGTCCGGACTTTCTTCTTCAGCAGTTTCTGAGTTGGAGTGCATAGCGTCTGCTTCCTGAGTGCCTGCCAGACGGGTCTGATACGACAGCAAGGCTGGGGTTCTTGGCCTGTGCGTAATCGTACCCATCTTCCCTCTGCGTCAGAGGGGTGGTGAAGTGCAGGCGTTTGGGCCTAGAGCCACTGCTGGGCGGTGGTGTGGCCTGCTGTTGTGTAGGGCCAGTGGTCGCAGCTGCAGCCTGTGTGGGTGGCGTGGCCTTGAAGAAGGAATGGATCGGTGGCGATCCCTGCATGCCTGCCCCTCGACATTCTTTGATGAAGTTAGCCGAGGTGATGATGCGGCGGTTGCTGTCCAAATGGAGTTGCAAACCACAGCTTGTGCAGCTGATCTTTTGTCCTTTTTGCCACAAACGGTGACTTGGGTGGCCCTTGTGCTCCTCTTCAAAGGGGCAGTCCAGGCATGGGCTTTGTATGTATTCATTGAAGGCCTGTTCATTTGTCCGCTTGTGGATGTTGGTTCCACACTTGGTGCACTTGAGGTAGCCTGTTGTCTCCTCATAGTGGTGTTGGTCATGAGCTGGTGGCCGTTTGAGTTGGTCTTGGAGCAGGTTCCGGATGACCTGGGCACGGGTGAGCTTCTTTGCAGGTCTGGCGGCTTCCTTCCCTGGCTCTGGGCATGCTTGCTCTGCAATCTGTTGATTGCATGTTTCGCCGAGGCGATCTTCGAGCTCCTGCGCGGTAAGACCTTGGTGCATGCGTGTTCCGCAGGTGGTGCAGGCATAACCACTCCGCTGAGGGGCCCACCTGTGGAGACCGGCTTGCCAGGGTTTGGTGCACTGTTGGATGAGGTCCTTCTTCCTCTGTTTGGTTTGCTTGCCTGGTTGCCGGTCTGCCTTGGTATGCAGGTAGTGGTGCTTATCTTGGAAAATCATCTCAAGGCGTTGTGCTGCCTGAAGGTAGATTGCTTTGTGGTCCCGGTCCAGTGTTGTTTGCCAGCTGGTTTGGCGCCGGTCATGGAGTGCATCAGCTCTCTCCCATGCAGTCAAAGCGGCATCACGTTGCCTCCTGCGGAGTTGTGGCTCATTTCCTGGTGCGTCTGGTGTTCTGGTGTTTTTGCTGATGTACAGGACGGTGATGCGTTGTCGGTCCTGTGTCGTGACCTCAGCCAAGAGGTCTGGGTAGGGATGCTTGTGGGGTGGCTTTTGCCATGCTTCCCAGACTGTGCTCAGTTGGACAATCACCTTGGCCGGAGTGGTGGTGTGCTTGGCCAGTGCAACCAGTCCAGCAAAAAGTGCTCTGCCCTTGCTTTGGTGGCCGCTTGCTGCTCCAGTGATGGCTCCCAGGCGTTTTAGTTGCCCCATCGTTTGAGTGTGGAGGCATAGGCCGAAGACCCAGATTTGAC